CGGGGAATTCCATTTTAGGTTCAGGACTTATGAGAACTTGTTGCTTGATGTTGTTGAGGTTTTGGAGCTTCTTGTTTTCTTAGGCACTAGAGGACTTGACAACCCAAAGCCTTTCACTGCATTCGAACACTTTGGCTGGAGAATTGATCCAGCGTGCTGCATCAGCTGAAAAATAGCAGACAGGAAGGTCTTGTCATGTTTTGAGTTGCTTCTGCCTTTGGCTGTGGGGTCTTCCTTCAAGTTTAGTGGATTGATTTGGTTCAGCACTAGTCACTAGATTCATTAGATCTTTCTTTTGTTTTCCTTGCATGGCCAGTGATGATTCTGTTTTCTCAAGCAGATTGAGAATCGGAGGTCTGGAATTGGAGGGGTATTCATCGAGAAACCTGTGGGGTTCATGGACATTTCTCAGGTTATGTTTCAGGCTCTATTTCTTTTTTTCAGAAACCTTCAAGTGCATGACATTGAGTTTTGGGATGCGCAAAATGTTACATTACATGTGTCTTTGAGAGAGGAAGGCCTTTTTCTTCACATGGGGCATTTAGAAGGGTGCCAGTCACCATTTGGTTTTCAAGTGCGGAATCCTTCAACCAATGGGTCGAATGTGTTCGGTGTGGGTTACGTAGTGACGAAGAAGCTAGCACAAGGACCACTGTTCCTCTTCCTTGTTAGTGCTTCGGAGCACTGGTCCGACCAGACCAACCTAAAAACAGGGATTATATATGATTATATAATTCGTATTTGTTCCAGTTCAGGGAACGGATTCCGAACTTGTGGACATCCCGGCCTCCGCTGGGTTGTGGATCACCAGCAGCTCCAGGCCATTGCGGAGGTCTTCTCTCGCATTGACCACAAGTTCGACCTCATGCAACTTGCCCCGACAGACCATGCGCTTTGGAGAACTCGGCCGCGTTCAAACGCCCCAAGATTTGTCACCTTTTGAGTTCTTTGAGGTGCAATGGCCACAGTTTAAAACATTGTCAAGTTACTGAAGGAAGAAGTCCAATCAGAACTTGAAACCCAAGCCGAGACATTTCTGTCAGTACAGGCGGGTTTCCACTTAATCACAGCACTGGTCATGTCGGTCATGTTTTCTATGTCTTTCGTCCAAATAGTACTTCACCGCAGGTCTTCCAGCCATCGTGGAAGAGCCTTCGAGGCATCCGCCGGCGGAATTGTGTAGTGATCCGTCTCTGATGAGTTGGTCCTTTCTTCCAAGGTATTCCAAGCGAGCCTTCGTGCATCACTACGTGGGTGAGGGCATGGAAGAGGGCGAGTTCTCGGAAGCACGAGAGGACTGGACCCGTGGGTGAAGGCACCGAACGAGGGTTTCAGCATCGGAGAAGCACCACCGCTTTTGAAGAACCGCAAACGGAGCATGATATGTATAGCCTGAACCAAAGTCTTCAAGTGGCCAGACCATTTTATATGTATATAATATATATAGCCTAGGGCCTAAGGCCTTAATTAGCCCAGCTGGAGACCCCAATAGCAAGATACAAACCGGGACAAAAAAGAAACATCTGGAAACAGCTGCTGTTTTCAACACATCGACCATCTCTTCCTTGGACACCATCATCACATAACCGGACACCATCACAAAATGACCAGGGCACCATCAAAACATGACCGAGACACCGTCACAACATGCTTGGGACACCATCACAACATAACCGGGACACCATCACAAGGTGACCGGGACACCAGCATGACATGACGGGGACACCATCACAACATGACCGGGACACTATCACAACATGACCGGGACACCGTCACATGACCCGGACACCATCAAAACATAACCGGCACACCGCCAAAACATGACCAGGACACCATCACAACATGACCGGGACACCATCAAAACATGACCGGGACACCGTCACAACATGAGCGAGACACCATCACAACATGACTGGGACACCGTCACAACATGACCGGGACACCATCACAACATGACGGGACACAATCAACACATGATCGGGACACCATCACAACATGACCGCGCCACCATCACATGATCGGGACACCATCAAAACATGACCGGACACCATCAAAACATGACCGGGACACCATCAAAACAGGACCGGGACACCATCACATGATCGGGACACCATCAAAACATGACCGGACACCGTCACAACACGACCGGGACACCATCAAAACATGACCGGGACACCATCACAACATGACCGGGACACCATCAAAACATGACCGGGACACCATCACAACATGACCGGGACACCATCAAAACATGACCGGGACACCATCAAAACACGACCGGGACACCATCACAACATGACTGGGACACAATCAAAACATGATCGGGACACCATCTCAACATGACCGCGCCACCATCACATGATCGGGACACCATCAAAACAT